GTTTTTTATAAAAATGACAAGTAACAGTTATAATAACGTTGCACAATTAAACGTTATAATAGTTTTTATGACTTAGAAAACACACATAACAAATGTAAATAATCATTTCTAAACTTTAAGAACATACATTTATTTACAAAATATATTTTGCAAATGTCTGGTAAGATAACCAGTTTAAACATTGCAGATGGAGAGGAGAGGATCAGAACCTCTTCCACGACCTCATTCAGTCGCTCAGGCATACTTGCCACAAGATTGTCGCATAGTATGCCCTCATGAAGCTTCTCCCAACGAACTCTGACGATTTCCCAGAGCTCGTTTGGAGTCGCCGCCTGAATGAGGTCGTGGCAGAGCTGAGCCAAACGTGTTCAATGGGGTTGAGTTCTGCCCCTCTCACCAGCCATCCCATATCTACGAGCTGTGGGTATTGCTCCATCCAGTTCCTCACTACTCTGGCCGTGTGCACCAGGGAGCGGTTGTGCACAAAGTAGTTTGGCTCTTCACCATAGACGACCGTCACTGTCGGCAACAATACCTCTAAGTATCTCGATATATTGCACGGTGGTGAGGTGACTGTCTATATGGATCAACTCCCTGGGAGCTGCAGCTGTCATCCATCCCCAAACTCCTGTAAAACAGAAAATGTCAATAAAGTTCTGATTTATAAAATGAACATGCCAATATGTTGTCATGTTCAAAGGGACATAAATACACGAAATTTAAAAACTCACCTAACGAGAAGCGACCATTTCTTTAAGTGCGCCACACGTGTTCCGGGTTAAACCTGGTGCAGAATGGGTGAGGCATCCACACGGCCCCGCTGCTCGACGAACAAAATATCTTTTCGTCTGTAAAGATGACATTGGCCCAGTCGGCCACTCCCCAACTAGAATAAGTTTAAGCAAACCTCAGCAGGTTGAATTGGTTGATGACGGTAAGCCCCTGCTTCTGGGCCGCCCTCCTTCCATGTAAATTGAATTGTTGCAACCTATGAATAAAGTAAACATATATATATGATTAATTCTTTTGAAGACAAAGTTCTTTCCAAAAAAATATAGGAACCACCATTTATTAACTTTGTGTTCCAGACATTACACTTTTGGCAACTGGCCTTTTCTTTTAGGCGACTGACCTTTCCTCATCTACATTTTACCAGCGCTTATTTCGTTGTAGATAAAAGCCGAAACAACCCCAAGAAGGTATGATGGAAAATAGGAGACATCCGAACATCACCAGTTCCTGTTTTTTTAAAAATGTTTATATTTTTAATTGGATATTTTTGTGTTTTTTAAAGGACTGTTTGGCGGCCAGTAGCCTAAAAGAAAAGGTCAGTCGCCAAAAGTGTAATGTCTGGAACACAAAGTTAATAAATGGTGGTTCCTATATTTTTTTGGAAAGAACTTTGTCTTCAAAAGAATTAATCATATATATATGTTTACTTTATTCATAGGTTGCAACAATTCAATTTACATGGAAGGAGGGCGGCCCAGAAGCAGGGGCTTACCGTCATCAACCAATTCAACCTGCTGAGGTTTGCTTAAACTTATTCTAGTTGGGGAGTGGCCGACTGGGCCAATGTCATCTTTACAGACGAAAAGATATTTTGTTCGTCGAGCAGCGGGGCCGTGTGGATGCCTCACCCATTCTGCACCAGGTTTAACCCGGAACACGTGTGGCGCACTTAAAGAAATGGTCGCTTCTCGTTAGGTGAGTTTTTAAATTTCGTGTATTTATGTCCCTTTGAACATGACAACATATTGGCATGTTCATTTTATAAATCAGAACTTTATTGACATTTTCTGTTTTACAGGAGTTTGGGGATGGATGACAGCTGCAGCTCCCAGGGAGTTGATCCATATAGACAGTCACCTCACCACCGTGCAATATATCGAGATACTTAGAGGTATTGTTGCCGACAGTGACGGTCGTCTATGGTGAAGAGCCAAACTACTTTGTGCACAACCGCTCCCTGGTGCACACGGCCAGAGTAGTGAGGAACTGGATGGAGCAATACCCACAGCTCGTAGATATGGGATGGCTGGTGAGAGGGGCAGAACTCAACCCCATTGAACACGTTTGGCTCAGCTCTGCCACGACCTCATTCAGGCGGCGACTCCAAACGAGCTCTGGGAAATCGTCAGAGTTCGTTGGGAGAAGCTTCATGAGGGCATACTATGCGACAATCTTGTGGCAAGTATGCCTGAGCGACTGAATGAGGTCGTGGAAGAGGTTCTGATCCTCTCCTCTCCATCTGCAATGTTTAAACTGGTTATCTTACCAGACATTTGCAAAATATATTTTGTAAATAAATGTATGTTCTTAAAGTTTAGAAATGATTATTTACATTTGTTATGTGTGTTTTCTAAGTCATAAAAACTATTATAACGTTTAATTGTGCAACATTATTATAACTGTTACTTGTCATTACTTATTGCCCACACTTTAGTTTTTCTCATGCAGGTTACANCTTCTGCTTCTGATGTTGCTGAATGTTTTTCTCTTATTCCATACTTGCTTTATTCTTCATAAGTGCTTAGCACCATAAAAGGAAATTTATAAAGACCTTTTAACTAGAAGCAAGCAATCTCAAATTACATACTTTTTGCAAAAGGTAAAGCATGGATCTGAAGATAATGCAGAAAAATGCTCAGAGGATAAGTATAACTTGCCAAAAAGAAAACGCTCGCGGTTAATTAATAGTGTTTTTAGTGATGACGAAGAAAACATTGTTTAATTTATATTTATATGTATCACTTAAAAAATTTTTATGAAGATATTTATTTTAATTATGAAAATATAGTAGCATGTTTTTTAATTTTTGGAACCTAACCCTCCTTTTCGTATTATTTCTTTGTTTCGTATAACACGGATTCGCATAACACGGCAATTTTTTGGAACATAACTATCGTGTTATACGGGGGTTATCTGTAGTTCGGCTGCCCGATGACGTTTTACATAATTATAGGAGTTTTTTTACCTTTTTTACGGATACCGTTGCAATTTTTTCGCAGTTTTATAGGAATCGTAATTATAGGGGGTCTACTGTAATATTTTTACGTTTAAACCACATTTTTGTTGATTTAAAGGCATGCACAGGGGCATTGTCTTGTTGAAAGATTCAATTTGATCCATCTTCCAATAAATGATCTTCAAGCATGTCTTGATACTTCTCTGAATTCATTCTTTGAGTTATAAATGCTAAATCTGTGGTTCCATTGAATCCAAATGCACCCCACATTATTATTGATCCCCCACCCATTTGGCGTTTTGAAAATATTTGTTTTTCGGTTCTTAAATCTTGCCAATAATACTTTCAACCATTTGGACTAAGATGAATTGTTTTTCATCGCTGAACAAAACTTCAATCCATTCTTTGGACTATGTCATGTGTTTTTGTGCCCAATCAAGTCTGTCACTTTTGTGCTTTAATGAAAGTGGTAGCATCATAGCTTTTTTCTGAATTTTAACGTTCGAGATTTATTTAAAACCCTCCACACTGTTGTGCTAATTCTTGTTTTATTTTTCTTACTGATGTTTGTTTTGTGGAGCAAATCTTGATGATTTGTCTTCAATGTCGAGATATAAGCTTGGATTTTGGACCTGTCTTGAATTTTGGTACATCCTAGCCACGTCTTTTTGATAAATAATCACCAACAGTTGATTTTGGACGATTTATATATGCTGCAATGTCTCTTATTGACTTGCCTTGTGATTTATAGGCATTGATCTTGTGGAATCTGCGAATATCTGAGGTATGATATCCGCAGAGGTGAATGAGAAATGATTGCCACAAAAAAAGGAGGAGACCAGTACGATATATTATCTAACAAACTTTATGCACCAAACATATATATACAATTGAATCACAATACGATAGGTAGGCTTAAGCCTGGCACGTGGCAGCTTACACAAAGCACAAAGGGTCTACACAAGACAATCGAAGGACACACCTTCACTGTTGCACGCCAGGAACCAGACTGCCTGGTTTCCGGTTCCCCACTATATATAACTCCTCCACCACTCTCACCGTGCTGCCACACAAAAACAGCCCAAAACACAAATAAAACCGCGCGTACAGCAATCGCGACGATCGTTTACGTTAATTACATTAATAAAATATTACATATATACATAAAGATGATTATTGTTAAATAAAAAAAAATATATATATATACAG